TTGTCTCATTCCCTGCCTCTCCTGGACCATCATAAAAGCCCATGGATGTTCCCAAGAAAAGAATGGGAAAAAGTGATTAGCTGTTAATAAAAAGGACAAGCATTTGATTCCATTATCTTCACTCCGACCTACACAGGGGTCACCACAGGGAGAGAAAGAAAAAACTTAAGTAAAACACATTTTCAGAGAGACTTCCAACTACTGATATATTTTTAAAGTACTGTTTTTTCAAACTTGAGACATATACTATAATAATATGCATTGAAGAAGGAGCAGAACTTAAGGATTTTTCTAAAATTTCAAATTTCTCTTAACATGAGGGTAAACAATCCATATAATCAACCAGGATTTAGATCTGGGCTCCAACTGCAGAGAGAGAAAATATAAATCTTAATGTTAATCTCCAATCATTGATCTGACTTCTATATTTTCTTTGGTTTAGCTAAATTTATTGAACAATGCTCCAAGCCTTTCCACAGTACTTGAAACACCTTTGGCTGGCTCCGTGGCTCACTTGGCTAATCCTCTGCCTGAGGCGCCGGCACCCTGGGTTCTAGTCATGGTCGGGGTGCCGGATTCTGTCCCGGTTGCCCCTCTTCCAGTCCAGATCTCTGCTGTGGCCTGGGAAGGCAGTGGAGGGTGGCCCAAGTGCTTGGGCCCTGCACCCGAATGGGAGACCAGGAGGAAGCACCTGGCTCCTGGCTTCGGATCGGTGCAGTACGCCGGCTGTAGCAGCCATTTGGGGAGTGAACCAACGGAAGGAAGACCTTTCTTTCTGTCTCTTTCTCTCTCACTGTCTAACTCTGCCTGTCAAAAAAATAAATAAATAAATAAATAAACACCTTTAATCAGGACTTTGTCCATTTTATTCACAGTTGTATTAGGAAATGGAAACGTTTAGTCACATCTTCAATGTCTCTGTTTGCTGGCATTGGAAATATGATTTATTATATAGTTCTTGTATTCAGAAAAGACTAACTTCTATAAGTAGGAAATCACTGGAAATGAATAAGAAAAAATATAATTTTCTAAAAAGTGTTAATTTTACCATTCTTTAGTTTAACTGAAATGCCTGCCATTAGGAGCAACCTTAAATGATACTGTAACTGTATGTCATCTGAGAGAATTAGTATGTCAGTGGGGGTAATAAGCTAACAACTAGTTTATGCCTTATCTATAATCATTTCACAAGAGGAAAAGTATTGGGGACAGGGGGAATGAGAGATAATTTAGCACAGTTGTGTTCTTTTTTTTTTTTTCAAATATTTATTTATTTATTTATTTGAGAAGCAGAGTTACAGACAGAGGGAGAGACAGAGGGGTCTTCCATCTGTTGATTCATTCTCCAAATGGTCGCAATGGCTGCAGCTGGTCCTATCCAAAGCCAGGAGCCTGAGGCATCTTCTGTGTCTCCCATTCGGGTGCAGGGGCCCAAGCACTTGGGCCATCCTCTGCTGCTTCCCCAGGTCATTAGCAGGGAGTTGGATCAGAAGTGGAGCAGCCAGGACTCCAATTGGTGCCCATATGGGATGCTGGTGCTTCAGATGGAGGTTTAACCTACTATGACACACCACCAGCCCCAGCATGGGCATTTAAAAAGTCTAAAGTATAATCACAGGGACAAGTGTTTGGTGCAGTGGTTAAGATACAGCTTGAGGTGCACGCATCCCATTTCAGAGATGGCTGGTTCAAGTCCCAACCCCTTGCCTCTGATCCAGCTTCCCACTAATGTGCACCCTAGGAAGGAACAGGAGATGGCTCAAGTACTTGGGTCCCTACTACCCACATAGGTGACTTGGATTGAGTTCTTGGCTCCTGGTTTCCCTTCAGCCCAACCCCAGCATTTGGGGGAGTGAACCTATAGCTAGAAGCTCTGTTTCTCTGCCCTTGTGTGTGTGTGTGTGAGTGTGTGTGTGTATAAATTTTTTTTTGACAGGCAGAGTGGACAGAGAGAGAGAGAGAGAGAAAGAAAGGTCTTCCTTTACCGTTGGTTCACCCTCCAATGGCCGCCACGGCTGGCGCATCATTCTGCTTTGAAGCCAGGAGCCAGGTGCTTTTCCTGATCTCCCATGCGGGTGCAGGACCCAAGGACTTGGGCCATCCTCCACTGCACTCCCGGGCCATAGCAGAGAGCTGGCCTGGAAGAGGGGCAACCAGGATAGAATCCGGCGCCCCAACCGGGACTAGAACCTGGGGTGCTGGCGCCGCAGGTGGATTAGCCTAGTGAGCCGCGGCGCCGGCCAGTGCATAAATTTTTACTCAAGTTTAAGATAGGAGATAGCATAGAGCAGCACGTAGGTTGGGAGCCTTGGATCAAATAAAGAACCAATTACATCAGGAGGATGCTTTACATCTGTGAACTGCACATTCCAAGTCTGGAAATTGAAAAGCAAATTGAATAGATTCTAAGATCTGTTCTAGCAGTGAAATTTTTTGGTCTCTTGTCTTTTGGCTGATTTGTCACAAATCATCTTAATATCAATGATTTTTAATGGTATAAAAATACAACAAATATTTCAAACTTATTGCCAATACTCTAAGAGCAACCAATGCCAGTTTTATTACAACCATCTATGTAAAATGCAATTAAAACTTGAAGATTTTCAGTTCTTAACTTTAAAAAACATGAGAAAGTAGATCAGAATTACAAATGTTGTACTGATACATAAAATGAGTCTGACACAAGACACTTAAAATATTTCCTGACTAGAAATGTTACATATGCTCAAGGTAGAACATATGTATACCAATGTGTGCATGTGTGTGTGTATTTACACATATGTATGGCTGGCCCCTTGGATCCATGTGTTTTGCACTGATGGCAGATCCAGGTTCAGAAAAAAAAAAACCTGCCTGTGTGTGAATACAAACAGACTTTTTTGTCATTATTTCCTCAACAATATAGTACATAAACTATCTGCGTAGTTTTTAAATTGAATTAGGAATTATATGTAATATATAATCTGATCTGAAGCATACAACAGGATGTGTGTAGGTTCTATGCAAATAAAATACCATTTTATATAAAGGACATTTTATATAAGGGATTTTGGTATTTGAGGGGGGGGACCCTGGAATCAATTTCCTGAGGCTACTAAAGAATGACTGTACACACATACACACAAACACACACAGAGAAACGGAAGAGAAAGTGTAGAGATAATCTATAACTCTCTACCCAGAAAAATGTCATGAGCATTTAAATTTTTCTCTCTCTCTTGTTTTCTCCCTCCCTCTCATTTACCTTTCTTTCTTCCTCCCTATACATATTCTTATACTCACAGTTGGGTTTCTTCACATTTTGTATTTGTGTACCATAGTTTCTACACTTAACAAGAGCACATTACTATAACACTCTTTTAATAAACATGGTTTTTTGCTACTTGAATAATAATCCATCCTTAACCATGTCATAATGTATGTGAGTATTTCTCTGATATTGGATTCAGGCATTTTCTAAATCATCACATTAATAGTAGAGGAGATATCTTCAGACACAGGACTTTGAATCTTTACTTCTTTAGGATAGTTTTCTAGAGAGTATCATGGAAAAAGGAGCAAAACCTAAAACTATGATTATCTTGAAACTTAATGCCAGTGTAGTTTGATTATTAGACTAATGTACATGAATTTCCATGTATACTAAAACTGATGGGTCTTCTTGAAGTTAGGATTTTTCATCAAAATGAGTTACATAGATAAGAACTATTCTATTGGTAAGGAAATTGGCTTAACACACTCAAATTTTAGCCTGTGTTTATTGCAGCACAATTCAAAACAGCTAAGATATGGCAATAACCCAGATGTCTATCAATTGATGACACTGAAAATTATATAAATATAGAAAATGTGGTATATATGCACTATGGATTACTACACAGCCATAAAAAGAATGAAATCCTGCCTTCTGCAACAAAATGGATACAACTGGAAATCACTATGCTTAGTGAAATAAGCCAGTCCCAAAAAGACAAATAATATGTTTCCCTGATTCATGGTAACTGATATACAGAGTACAAAAAATATAATGTACATGACTGAAATTGAATTTTGAGATTTGATTGTAGTTTACAGCCTAGTCTATATTCTTTTTTTTTTTAATTTTTTTTTTTTAATTTTTGACAGGCAGAGTGGACAGTGAGAGAGAGAGAGAGACAGAGAGAAAGGTCTTCCTTTTGCTGTTGGTTCACCCTCCAATGGCCGCCGTGGCCGCTGTGCTGCAGCCGGCGCACCACGCTGATCCAAAGGCAGGAGCCAGGTGCTTCTCCTGGTCTCCCATGGGGTGCAAGGCCCAAGCACTTGGGCCATCCTCCACTGCACTCCCTGGCCACAGCAGAGAGCTGGCCTGGAAGAGGGACAACTGGGACAGAATCCGGCGCCCCGACCGGGACTAGAACCCTGTGTGCTGGCGCCGCAAGGCAGAGGATTAGCTTATTGAGCCACGGTGCCGGCCAGCCTAGTCTATATTCTTAAGGAACAGCGGTTTTTTTTAATCTACAACTTGTTGAATTATTTATTTAGTGGAGGTTTAAATTCATGATTATGAAATAACCTGAAAGTATGTCATTGTAAATATTAAAAGAAAAAACTAGGAAAGGAAGGAGAGAGGGTGGGAGCAGGGGTGGCAGGAAGAGTACTGTGTAAAGTATCATTATGCTCTTAAATCTGTGTATATGAAATATGTAAAATTTGTTCACCTTATATAAATATTTCAAATATAAAAAATGTGGGGAGCAACCCGGACTAGACTGAGTTACTGGAATTAAGACTTATTCTATGCATCTGCTCTCCCACAATTTGGCGCTGAGAAGGGAGAAGCAGCTTCTACACAGCTGCCTCCAGTTCAACCAATAAACTGTAGGACCTGCTCCTGATTGGAGGAGAGCAGCGTACTCGGCGTGTGGGTAGCAGAGTTGGGATTGGCGGAAAAGGACTATAAAGGAGGAGAGAGACAACATGCACCAGGAACATCTAGGGGGAACATCTATCTGAAGGAACACCTGAGCAGCCCCCGAGAGAGCCGGCCGGCGGTGTGCCGCTCCCCCGCGGAAGTGGGGAATGTGGCAGGGGGAACCGCCCTTCCACGGAGGTGGAAGGGTTGGTAGCCAACCCGGGAAGAACCAGCAGCAAACCCGGGGAGGGCCGAGCAGACGAAAGAACAGCGCAGGGTTCAGTGTCGTTCCTCCACGAAGACGGGGAGCGACATAATGGTGCCGTGACTCGGATATGAAGCCTAGGCAGGGCTTAGTGTCGTTCCTCCATGAAGAGGGGGAGCGACAAAAAAAGACAAGTTTCAATTCCTGGATCTTACCTTTCTTGTCTGCTCTGTTTGGATGCGGTTTAACTGTGGCCCCCAAAAATTCATGTGCTGCCCGCTTGGTCACAGTGTTCTGATGTGGAGGCTGTGGAACTTTTAGGAAATCAGGTCAAGTGGGAGGAAATAAGGTCACTAAGGGCATCATACCCAGAAGGGAGTATTCTACTTCTAGTGAGACCTCAGTTAGTTCCTAAGGGAGTGAGTTGTTTACAGTAACCTGGCCCCTAAGTCTTCCTGGCTTCCTGCTGAGCCATGTGATCTCTCCCTCTAGGATGTTCTCCCACCATGATGCCAACCATCAAGTGGTGATGTAGCTGGAAGGCCCTCACCACAGCTGAGCAGAAGCCAGCATCATGCTCTTGGCCATCCGGAACTGTGAGTTAAGAAAACCTCTTTTCTTTATAAAATACTCAGGCTCGTATATTTTTATAATACAAAGAGAAAATGAACTAAGCACTTCCATTTCCTTTAGGACATGTTTCTCTTATCTTATGCTTTATCTTCTTTCTATTATAAAATTACTTGCATTTATTTCCAGAATTATTTTCTATTATGTTCATACCAGAATTCACACTTCATGGTCCCTACTTCCATCTTTATCTTCTAGTGACTTCTTCCTTCCTGGGGCCTTTTCACTGAACTCTGTGTTTTCCTCAATGAAAACATATGTGTACATTAATATCATGGTAGGAGACATACATATATTTGGAAATTAAAAGGACAAATAAGCCATATCTTTTAGATAAAAACTTATATCAAAATGTTTGTTTCATTCGTGTCCCATTTTGTACTGAGTGATCTCTGATCAATAAAGTTCACTGGTTATTTTAAGAAATTGAAATCAGTACCTACAGAAATTCTAAGTATTCAGAGTCTCTATAAAATGTAGTTTAAAAAGTATAACCCACTTTGTCCAAGAACTTTGAAATCTTACATACGTATAAATGCTATCCTTGAAATCCTTACTTGACTCCACTGATGAAAATTCATAATAGCAACTCCCACCATTCTTTTTAAGTATTACTAATATGAGTATTTGAAGTTTATTACCAAAGGAGGATTCATCTCTCTCATAACACGTTTTCTAAAAGTAGGTCTGAAAAGCAAATATAGTGGAAGTGGTGACAGAACTTGAGGGTCCAGCAGAGACTCAGAGGAAAGGAAATGATGTTTCAAGACATATACAATAACATACATAAGGAAATAATGTTCTAAGTATGGCAATACATATCTAACATGCATGCATGCCTAACGTACATGCGTTTTCTTTGTATTACCTTTTCACTTCACAGTGACAAAACAGTATCAATGACTAGTGAGTCTATGAGTAGTTGCTCCCTTTCCCAAAAGGGAAAAAAAGAATTCCCAAAAGAATATGATCAGAAATGATGAGTGTATTTGGCAAAACTATAACGTAACTGGTAAATACAAAACTCATCCTCACTTACCTTTCAGATCTTATTTCTTTGTATGGTTCACTAACACTTTCCTTATAAAGACTTCTCTATTTTTTTTTTTTTTGCAAAGTCTTTTGATTAGTGGTTTTCAATGAGGAATGGAAGGGAGGTGCCATATCCTATGTATCTGGCTGGTTTAAATAACTCATTTTTTCATTCATTTTTCAAATTTTTACTGAATATAACATGCCCTGCATTGTTTGCTCAAAATATGCTGTTATAGGTGACTTAACAGAGGCAGTGAAAATGATTTTAGAAGAAGGAAACATGCAGCACCTGAGAAAGGAAAACAACCCCCTTCTTGACCTCTGGAAGCTGGCTTGGCACTCCCAAGTAAGCCCTGCTTTCTCCTATAAAACAATCTCAGAACACCGAAATCAGACAAGTTCATCCTGTGATCATGATAAAAAGTGAAACTAAACAAGGCCACTTCATAATTTTGTCTAAGCACAGACAAAAACAAGGTCACTTTACTGTCTATGAAATGGCACATTTCCGGTTTTCTCAACTCAAATGAGTGACTGCTGCTTCTTTACAAATTGCAGGTTATCCTCACTCATCTGCCCTCCTGATGGGTAAGATTTAATGTGATACCCAGTCTTAGCGTTGCTCCTACTTTTGGGCATCTAATTTAGAGAAAAATCCCTACTTTTTACAGATCCTCCCTCAAATGATCCTACCAAAGCCCAAATCCTGTAAGAGGTTCTTATTGACAACATCATACCATCTTTTTTAATCTGGTAATTCATCACATACTATACTGAGACATATATTAGACTTCTGTAATAATTAACTGTGCAACTGTTAGTTAGTATCTCAGATTATAAGCTTCTTGAAGGTGAACATTAAGATTAACCCCTTGACTATGCCTCGTGGTGGCTACCATGTCATAGACTATATTAATTTATGTTAATCAAATAAATGAATTAATCACAGTCACATAAATGAAGCAACTATGACTCATGTGTTGCTTAACAATGAGGATATGTTCTCAGAAGTGCATCATCCGATGATTTCCTCATTGTGCAAACAACATAGAGGGTACTTACACAAATTAAACTGACAATGGCATCACTAGGTGACACAATCTTTTGGGACCACCATGGTATATGCAGTCTGTTGCTGACTGAAATTTGTCATGAAGCACCCGATGATAATTGATCTACTACAACACTGATTATCGAACTTGAGTGTGCATTAGATTCACCTAGAGAGTTTGTTGAACTACAGATGACAGGCCCCACTCCGCATAGTTCTGAATCAGTAGGTCTGGGGTGGGACCTAAGAGTTTGCATTTCTAACAATTTCCTGGTGATGCTGATGCTACTAACTTAAGGACTATTCTTTGAGAACTACTGCTTTAGATAATTTCAAATAACAAATCCACCTGACAACTTAGGAGAAACGAATGCTCTGTATACTTAAAGTATGCAGAAAATATTTATGTCTTCTTATAGAAGTGGATGTTACCGTATGATCTACAGAGTCTTAATTTCATGGGTATGATCAAATTGAGAGTAAGATTCTAATGAATTAAAAATAATTGCTTAACTTATAGCCAAATCTGAATGAGATGCCTCATCTTCATGTATGATCACAAAGAAAATCACCTCTAATGATTATGGTGTATTCAGAAGACTATTTTTGACAGAAATATCTCCTTTGGGGCTATGTTATTGATGACAAAAAGCAATCTACACTCTCTTTCAGTTATGAATTACATTGTAAATACAAAAAACATAGCAACTGTTTTTGTATTGTCAGAAAAAGGAAGTGCAGTTACATCAATACCTTTATGGTAATTAAACAGTGCATTCAATTTAGAAAAATGACAGATAAAAAATCTGCCTATGTCAGGTTGATTACCAAAGTCCAATAGACAATCCCTTCCAGAAACCATTTATTATTTCTATAGTAAATTATGTATGAGGATGAGTCTCATTATTTAAGTGGTCATGGCAAAGGCACTATTTATAAGCCACAAGTTAAAAGAAGGTATTAATAATAAATTAAAACACTATATCAACATCTTATGTATCCAAACCACAAGCAACTGGTCCCAAAGGACTGAGAGGCTCATGATTACATTGCACCAAGAAGGTACTTCTGCCAGAGAACTGTCTACCCCTCTCCATGTGTGACCTAGGCAACAGGCTGTAATTTCACCAATGGCAGCCATCCAAACCTGAGTCACTTAAGCTCCACTGGCAGAGTGAGAGTAGAACAGAGGCACTGAGACAGGACTAATGCATTTCTTCTGTGCTAGGATTTGCTCCAAGGGCCTCTGCTTCCATGCCTGGTCTTTGCTCCTCCTCTGTGTCTTCTGGTTGCAGAATATTTGCCTGGCCACTACTGGCCACTATTTTGACCACTAATCTAGTTCTACTTCTATTTCTAGTAATCCTAATCTGCATGAGTTGTACAACTATGTTCTCTCACCCTTGTCCTGTCGATTCTGTCATTTTCTTCCTTTTCTTCCTGCTGTCCTGTGGGGAGCAACTGAGACTAGACTAAATTACTGGAAGTAAGACTTATTCTATGCATCTGCTCTCCCACAATATGGCGCTGAGAGAGAGAGACCAAACAACCTCTACGCAGCTGCCTCATCAGTTTGACAAGCTGCAGGAGCTGATCCTGCTCCTGGTTGGAGGAGAGCAGCGTGCTCGGCGTGTGGATAGCAGAGTTGGGATTGGTGGAAGAGGACATATAAAGGAGGAGAGAGACAACATACACCAGGAACATCCGGATAACATCTGAGCAGCCCCCGAGAGTGTGTGGTGTGCCGCTCATCCGCGGAAGCGGGGAAAGCGGCGGGGGGGGGGGGTGCTGCCCCTCCACGGAGGTGGAGGGGCCGGCAGCTAACCCGGGACGGTGTCGTTCCCCCGCGAGTGAGGGAACGGCAGCTAACCCGGGAAGGGCCGAGCAGACAAAAGAACAACGCAGGGTCTAGTGTCGTTCCTCTGCGAATGGGGGAGCGACAGTCCTGAAGCTGCCCGTTCCTGGGAGACCTCTAGTGTCCACATACTGTGCCATCTTTTCTTGACACATAATGTACAGACTGTAGACATTAAGTATGTCTTGATAAATTGCATCTCACTTTTTTTTTAACTATGCCGAGATATTTATGAAGTCAGTGAGTATAAAGTTGGGAAAAGTGGTAGACAAAGTGACTGGTGTGTTTATTACTTTTTGTCTGTCTTAGTTGAAAGGTTTCTATAATTTAATACACAGTACTTTGATGTTAACAAGGAATGAAATACTAGAGTATAATGAACACACCTTCACTGTTATATACTAGTCCATTTAATATTTTTTATATATGTTGAGCATTAAACAACCAATAATTCATCTATCCTCACAATGATCAAAATAATATATTGCAGTAACCCTGCTTTGCAAATGAATAAACTAAAGACTAGAGGAATTAGGCCCAAGCTCAATCAAGTAGACAGTAGGGGAGATGGGTTTCAAATCTAGAAATGTATGACTCCATAATCCCTGCTCCTAGGCAATGTGCCTATTGCCTATCACTTGTAAGTTGTTATTGGAATAGCAACATTGTAATCATCTCGCAAGTTTTCATTTAACTATTTTTAATATTTCTAGAACAAAGAGTGCATGAGTGAAAAAAAGCAGCTGGTTTGTACAGGTGGCCTTACCTTTATGAGTGAAAAATTCACGTAGCACACATTTCTAGGTGTCCTTGCATTTGGCACAATATCTGAGATAATCCCTTTGTTCTTGCTTTGCTATTATATCTTTCTTGATCTAAATCTGTTACAATTGTGCCCCTTTTCAGTTTAGAGTTCAAGGGTGATTAGGAACAGCTGCTCAGCTGTTCTGAACAGTCTCCAGTATACTTGAAGGGCATTATTAAATTGTTTTTGTGCTTTCCTATAATTGCATTTTCTTTGACTTTTCCCCTCACAACTCTTTTTCCAGTTTTTAATTCATGTTTGTCAACTTCAGAAGTCTTGTTGGGCTCCCATATTGTTGGAATATTCTGTCTAAGCACTAGATTAACCTAGTGAGAAGAGAATGTCTTGGCGTATCTAATTCCACTTGCTACTTTTTTTTAACGCCTCTTGTAAGATATAAACAAATATAACACACTGACTATTATGGTTGGTTTAATACAAGTGTTTCTGATTTAAGGAAAATTACAAGGAACCTAGTTAACCTTAGTCACCATAATTTGAAATGGTTTTACCTTTTTATTTTTGAGGAGCTACATTTGGTCATTGATAACTCAGTTGTTTCTCCTCTCAACACCATCCCACATTTAGTTTTGTGTTAGCACAAGAAAGAAACGAACAGCACAGGATATTCATTGTTCTAACAGAATATTAGACACCATTGTTCAAAAGTGATGTAAAACAACAAAATAAACCGCCAAATAAAATCAAGAGTCATCACTCTTTTCTAGTTTGAAGTTATTTGCTATTTGTAAAGTCATATTTATATCATTGTTAAATGATATTATCTGTTGGCCAAAGACACAAACTTTTAGTTAGATAAGAGAGATAAGTACAAAAGATCTATAAGTATTGTATACCTTGGTAACTATAGTTCATAATGGAATTATATGGTTGAAAATTGCTGAGAGTAGATTTTAAATGTACTTACCACAAAATAATACATACATGAGGTAATGCATATCCTAATAGCCTGATATAGCCCTTCTGTAATGTATGCATACATCAAAGAATCATGTTATACACCACAAATACATATAATTTCCTTGAATTATAACACTTTAAAAATAAAATTAAAAAAAATTATGATTTCACGTATTATTTCTCCTGGGGTGGTTTGAGGCATACACTAAGGTGACAGAAATATTCTTCTGTAGATCATAATGTTCCTATTTAACATATCAGTGGTAGTATTAAATATTATCTCATTTTGACTTCTAGAATAATTACTGTAATTATTTTTACTAATATAGTTTTAAATACTATTTAGTGTTTCTACTAGTAAAATGCTTTTTCTGTGGATAAATTCTACTAGTTATCTAACCACTTTTATGGCATATGGATATGTTGAGAATAAAAGTAATTTAATCTAAAACTTTAATATCAATTTCTATTCCAATTCTTTAACCATAGTTTTGCTTTTGCTGAATCGTTCCCTTTTTTTTTGGGGGGGGGGCAGACAATAGGCTTGCTTTTTCTTTACCTAGGCAATTAAAAGGATACATCTATAAAGTTCAAATTACTTTCATTTGTGAGTTCATTCATTTCAGAAAAATGTTTCTTTTTTTTTTTACTTTTAAACTTTTTATTTAAAAAACTTTTTTTTTAACTTTTATTTAATGAATATAAATTTCCAAAGTGCGATTTATGGATTACAATGGCTTCCCCCCCATACCGTCCCTCCCACCCACTACCCTCCCCTTTCCCACTCCCTCTCCCCTTCCATTCACATCAAGATTCATTTTCAATTATCTTAATATACAGAAGATCAGCTTAGTATACATTAAGTAAGGATTTCAACAGTTTGCTCTCACACAGAAACATAAAGTGAGAAATAATAGATGATTTTTTTTTTAAATGATGATGAAATCAGATCAGACCTATTGTCATGTTTAATCCCAGTGAGAGTCAAGTTGGGAGTTGATAATTTCTTTCTTTCTTTTTTTTTTTTTTTTTTTTTTTTTTTACAGAGGATCAGTTTAGTATGCATTAAGTAAAGATTTCAACAGTTTGCACCCCCATAATAACACAAAGTGAAATATATTGTTTGAGTACTCGTTATAGCATTAAATCTCAATGCACAGCACATTAAGGACAGAGATCCTACATGAGGAGTAAGTGCACAGTGACTCCTGTTGTTGACTTTACCAATTGACACTCCTGTCTATGGCATCAGTAGTCTCCCTATGCTCCGGTCATGAGTTTCCAAGGCTATGGAAGCCCTCTGAGTTCTCCGATTCTTATCTTGTTTAGACAAGGTCATAGTCAAAGTGGAGGTTCTCTCCTCCCTTCAGAGAAAGGTACCTCCTTCTTTGAAGACCTGTTCTTTCCACTGGGATCTCACTCGCAGAGATCTTTTGCCAGAGTGTCTTGGCTTTCCATGCCTGAAATACTCTCATGGGCTTTTCAGCCAGATCCGAATGCCTTTAGGGCTGATTCTGAGGCCAGAGTGCTATTTAGGACATCTGCCATTCTATGAGTCTGCTGAGTATCTCACTTCCTATGTTGGATCACTCTCCCCTTTATTTATTCCATCGGTTAGTGTTAGCAGGTACTAGACTTGTTTATGTGCTCCCTTTGACTCTTAGTCCTTTCATTATGATCAATTGTGAACTGAAATTGATCACTTGGACTAGTGAGATGGCATTGGTACATGCCACCTTGATGGGATTGAATTGGAATCCCCTGGTATGTTTTTAACTCTACCATTTGGGGCAAGTCAGCTTGAGCATGTCCCAAATTATACATCTCTTCCCTCTCTTATTCCCACTCTTATGTTTAACAGGGATCATATTTCAGTTAATTTTTAACACTTAAGAATAACTGTGTATTAATTACAGAATTAAATCAGTCATATTAAGTAGAACAGACAAAAAAACTACTAAGAGGGATAATGTATTAAGTTGTTCATTAACAGTCAGGGCTATGCTGATCAAGTCACCGTTTCCCATAGAGTCCGTTTCACTTCAGGAGGTTTCCTTTTTGGTGTTCAGTCAGTTGTCACCGATCAGGGAGAACATATGGTATTTGTCCCTTTGGGACTGGCTTATTTCACTCAGCATGATGTGTTCCAGATTCCTCCATTTTGTTGCAAATGACTGGATTTCGTTGTTTCTTACTGCGGTATAGTATTCTAAAGAGTACATATCCCATAATTTCTTTATCCAATCTACCGTTGATGGGCATTTAGATCGGTTCCAGGTCTTAGCTATTGTGAATTGAGCTGCAATAAACATTAGGGTGCAGACCGCTTTTTTGTTTGCCAATTTAAATTCCTTTGGGTACTCCACAAAAACAAAACCAACAACCCACTTAAGAGATGGGCCAAGGACCTCAATAGACATTTTTCAAAAGAGGAAATCCAAATGGCCAACAGGCACATGAAAAAATGTTCAAGGTCATTAGTAATCAGGGAAATGCAAATCAAAACCACAATGAGGTTTCACCTCACCCCGGTTAGAATGGCTCACATTCAGAAATCTACCAACAACAGATGCTGGCGAGGATGTGGGGAAAAAGGGACACTAACCCACTGTTGGTGGGAATGCAAACTGGTCAAGCCACTATGGAAGTCAGTCTGGAGATTCCTCAGAAACCTGAAGATAACCCTACCGTTCGACCCAGCCATCCCACTCCTTGGAAAAATGTTTCTTTTAAGATTGAAAATATTTCACACTATACCAGATGTTTGGTGCTGTTACCCATTCTGAATCATGTTCCCTAAAACCACTGCTGTAATAAAAATCTATACCTTCATTAATTTTTATATAAACACAAGTGTAAAATTACTAACAAAATATTAGAACATTCTGAGAAATCCTACACACGATCAACTCATACATATATGCAAATTATCAATTAATGATACATTGTAAACATGGGGAACAAAAGGACATGTCTTTTAATGATACTCAGGTTCCTAAAAAAAAGAAAAGTCTTGCTAAACTGTAAGTATATATGGATAGTTTGGTTTTAAAATTTTAATTACTAATCTGAGCTGGTGCCCCATGTATATTTTTTCTTTTTTCTTTGATTGATTTATTTATTTGAAAGTCAGAGTTACAGAGAGAGAGAGAGAGAGAGAGAGAGAGAGAGGTCTTTCATCCGATGTTTCACTCCCCAATTGGCTGCAACAGTCGGATCTGTGCCAATCCGAAGCCAGGAGCCAGGAGCTTCTTCCAGGTCTCCCTCCCTGGTTTAGGGGCCTAAAGCTTTGGCCCATCTTCTACTGCTTTCCCAGGATCGGAAGAGGAGCAGCCGGGATTAGAACTGGCACCCATATGGGATGCCGGAGCTACAAGTCAGGGTGTTAACTCGATGCGTCACAGCGCCTGCCATGCCCTATTTATATTTTCAAAAGCAATGAATGCTGGGATCACATCAAAGGGAAATGTGTGGATATGTTGGTAACACAAGAAACAAAAGTCAAATGTAACAACCCAAACATGTTTGTCATGCCACTGTTTAAATAGCCAACATACCCCACAAAACATTCTGTGTGCAAATAAGCTCATCAAATAAAAAGCACTGAGTTCTTTCCAACAGAATATAAGATTTTAAGGACAGCACTGTGGAGCAAAGGATTAAGCCACAGCTTGCTGATTCTGACATCACATATCAGGGCACCAGCTCAACTCCTAGTTTTCCACTTACGATCCAGCTCCCTCTAAATGCAATTGGAAAAAGACAGGAAACCCCGACATGAGAGACCCAGAAGTTCCTAGTTCCTGGCTTTGCCTTGATTCAGACCTGGAGCTGTGGGCATTTGGGAGTGAACCAGCAGATATAAAATCTCTCTCTTCCAAATAAATAAAAAAAACTTTGAAAAAAATGTAAGATATGGATCTCATTTTCTATTATGCAATCTTTTAGAGTATTAAAATGGTACACGAAGCATTCAATTTGAACAAATTCCAGAAACTGTCATTTTTATAATGAGCTTGTATTATTTTCCAAAAGAGTATACATTCTAACATATTACATTTTTAAACTACTATTTTCAATTTCAGGACAGATGAGCTTGAGTTTTTCCTTAAATATATTTTAGCCTTATCATTGTGGTTTCCACAACTCCTTTAAAAAGGTACTTTATGATACTATCATTCGATATTATTTTTGTTTAAGTTAAAACTTATATTTACCAAGTCATGGTAGAAATGTCAAATATGATAGAAGTATAGATGATATAAAGTAAAAATTTTAAATGCCTTCTCTACCTTCTTTTCCTCCTCAGAGACAAATGCTACAAGTAATTCCTAATGTAATAACAATTTATTTTATACATTTTTAAAAGTTGATAAAGTATAAATTTTAAGAATACAAATAGAATCATTTTCAAACATGGTCCAGCAAGTTGACTGTAGGATAAGTATTGTGAAAAGGAAATTTTTGTTTAAAAGTACTTAAATGTATTTACATTTCAGATTTAGATAGCTACTGCTAATCTATCCTTATTAGAAAAAAGCTGTCATCAACATATATGAAATTTTTTTCTTAAAAAACTGAGTTCTATTTAATATTTCATTTTTTGCCACTCATAGCTAAACATGGCATCTTGGTGTTTCTCTCCTTGAGAAGGCTGTCAAGGGTTTATTTCTGCTATTCTTTCTGTGAACTGTCCATGTTCTTTAATCTTTTATCTTTTGAGTTGTTCATCTTTTGCTATTAATTTATGAGAAAGCTTTCTATAAAAGAAATCAATGATACAAAAGTATTTAATTTTTAAATGTGTAAAATATATAAATGTTTCCTTTATAGTCTCTGAATTTATCAAGATACTTACAAAAGTCATCTTATTAAAAATGTTTTTTTAAAGTTTTCTTTCCATTCCTCTCTCTCTTGCTCTCTCCTCTCTCTCCTTTCTCTCTTCCTCCTTCCTCTTCTCTTTCTTTCTTATGTTTAAAACATTAGTCCATTTTGAATTCAATTTGACACCAACATGAGTGAGAATACAGTTTTAAACTTCTATAACCGTTAAACTAATTGTTCCAAGATACTACACTTTCCATCTATATTATCCAGATGGAAAAAATTCTATCTTAATCATTTAATAAATTGCACCAAATCTGTTTCTGCATCTCTATATCTTTCCATTAACCGTCTATTTTTATGCCTGTACTGTGTTACTCTAAGTATTCCAAATCTGTTATGATGTGTTTCAATATCGGGCTGGTTTCTTCTGTTCATATGAAGTAGTTAATAAACACAACAAAGTCAATGCTTCCAGGGATGGGGAAGGCATCTAGTTTGCCTCTTTCAATTTACAGAGGAAGAAAAAGAAGGACATGAGGTACCTGAGACTAATCCAACTCTCTGAAGTAGTTCATGGGAGAGTCAAGCACTAACACAGGATTCTTTGGGTATCCTGCAGCCATGCTAAAAACTAAAAACAAATATATTCTCACAAACTGAAATATTTCTCAATATTATTCCTGTGATAATTTTTATGTGGTAGGTTTTTCCTTACTATTCCATTATTTACGCATCAGTTTTCTAAAACTTCATGAGATTTTCATTATTAGGCTTACCTATTAATACCTAAATCCCTTGAATAATAGTTGAAGGCATACTAAATCTGTCTCCCAACATCCTTTGTCATGGTCTACTTATTTTGCTCATTAGAATCCTGAGTGGGATTGTTCTAATATTGAGAAAATTTCCCAAAGCAATGCACAATTGAACAGAAAAGTTTCCATTGACTAACTAGGCAGCTGTCTGCCAGAGGCAGTCGTCAGCATGTTAATGAGATCTATGGCTGGCATTAAACATAAGGTACTGCAAGCACGACTAAGCATTTGAACAGAATACATCTCGAACTTGCATTAAATTGGAAAATCAGAAACAGTTAGCTAAAAGAAAATAGGAAATATGTGATGGTGTTTCACACAATGATTCAGAGACAAAAACTTTGCCCTTTCCACAACAAGAAAGAGAAGGCCAACTTAATAATTACATTAAGAAACTGAAAAATAAAAACTACATGGTTATCCCAATAGGTGCAGAGAAAGCATTTTATAAAATACAACATCATTTCATGATGAAACCTTAAGCAAATTGAGTATAGAAGGAGCATTCCTCAACACAATCAAGACAATTTATGACACACCCACAGCCAGCATCTTATTAAATAATGAAAAGTTGGAAGCATTTCCACTACGATCCAGAACCAAACATGGATTTCCACTTGCACCACTGCTATTCAATACAGTCCTGGAAGTGTTAGCCAGAAAAAGAAATCAAAGGGATACAAATTGGAAAGGAGGAAGTCAAATTAGTCCTATTTGCAGATGACATAATTCTATATGTAGGGGAACCATAAGACTCCACTGGGGGGGAAAAAAAAACTGGAACCCATAAAAGAGCTTGATAAAATGGCAGGATATAAAATTAACACACAAAAATCAATAGCCTTTGTATACACAGACAATGCTGAGAAGAAATGTCTAAGATCAATCCCATTCACACTAGATACAGAAAAAATTAAGTGCCTTAAAATACATTTAACAAAAGAGGTGAAATCTCTATAATAAAAATTACAAAACATTAAAGAAACAGAAAAAGACACAAAAAATGGAAAAATCTTCCAATGTCCATGGATTGGAAGAACCAATATCATCAAAATGTCCATACTACTGAAAGCAATTTACAGTTCCAATGTGATAAGAATCAAAGTATCAAGCACATTTCTTCTCAGATCTAGAAAAAATAATGCTAAAATTAATATGGAAACAAAATAGACCCCAAATAGCTAAAGCAACGAAAACAAAGCCAGAGGCATCACAATATCAGGTCTTCAAAGATATACCACAGGGAAGTTATAATCAAAACAGCTTGGTATTGGCACAAAAATAGATGTAGATCAATGGAACAGAATAGAAACTCCAGAAATCAACCCATGTATCTACAACCAATATTTGACAAAGGAGCTCAAATCAATCAATCCCTGGAGAAAGGACAATCTCATCAACACAGTGCTGGGAAAACTGGATCTCTGGATGCAGAAGTATGAAGCAAGATCCCTTGCTTATACCGTAAAAAAAATCAATTCAAAATGGAACAAGGATCTAAATCTATGACTGGATACCATCAAATTACTAGAGAACATTGGGGAAACTCTGCAAGACATTGGCATAAGCAAAGCATTCTTAGAGAAACCCCAGAAGCACAGGTAATCAGATCCAAATTTGAAAATGGGATCACATAAAGCTGAGATGATTCTGCACTGCAAAAGGAAAACTCCACACAGTGAAGGAGCAACCAACAAAATGGGAGAACATATTTGCAGACTATTAAATTGATAAAGGATTAATATCTAGAATCTATAAAGAGCTCAAGAAACTCAACAAAAACAAAACAAACAATACAGTTAAAAAATGGGCAAAGGTCTTGAACAGACATTTTTCAAAAGAGGTAATTCACATGGCTCACAGACACATGAAAAAAATGCTCAGGATCACTATCAATCAGGGAAATGCAAATCAAAACCACAATGAGGTTTCACCTCACCCCAGTTAGAATGGCTTTGATAGAGAAATCAACAAATAAATGGTGGCAAGGATGTGGGCAAAAAGTTATCTTAATCCACTGTTTGTGGGAATATAAACTAGTACAGACATTGTGGAAGACAGTATGGAGGTTCCTCAGAAAGCTGAAAATAGACATACCACATTACCTAGCAATCCCACTTTTGTTACCCAACTGAAATTAAATCAGCATATCAAAGAGTTATCTTTACCCTCATGTTTATTGCAGCTCAATTCATAATAGCTAAGATAGGTGATCAACCCAGAGGTCCACCAACTGATGACTGGATAAAGAGATTATGGGCTATATATACTATGGAATACTACTCAGATGTTAAAAAAGGATGAAATCCTGTCTTTTTTTCCTCCAGTAACATTCTATTTGAGGAATACAAACTTCATACATTTTGCAAATACAGCTTTAGGATTATGGTGATTCTTCCCTCTGTACCTTTCTACCCACACTCCCACCCTTCTTCCTCTTCCCTCTCCTATTCCCATTCTTATATTTTACTAAGATCTATTTTTATCTAGTTTTATACACATACGATTAACTCTAAACTAAGAAAAGGGTTCACAAATAGTATAAAAAACCTGTTTTTCCTTTTTTTCTTTTTTTTTTAATGAATATAAATTTCCAAAGTACATCTTATGGATTACAATGGCTTCCCCTCCATAACGTCCCTCCCACCCGCAACGCTCCCCTTTCCCGCTCCCTCTCCCCTTCCATTCACATCAAGATTCATTTTCAATTCTCTTTATATACAGAAGATCAGTTTAGCATATATTAAGTAAAGATTTCAACAGTTTGCACCCACATAGAAACACAAAGTGAACAATACTGTTTCAGTACTAGTTATAGCATTAAATCACAATGTACAGCACATTAAGGACAGAGATCCTACATGAGGAGTAAGTGCACAGTGACTCCTGTTGTTGACTTAACAAATTGACACTCTTGTTTATGGCCTCAGTAATCACCCTGGGCTCTTGTCATGAGCTGCCAAGGCTATGGAACCCCCCGAGTTCACCGACTCTGATCATATTTAGACAAGGCCATGGTCAAAGTGAAAGTTCTCTCCTCCCTTCAGAGAAAGGTACCTCCTTCTTTGATGACCTGTTCTTTCCATGTTTTTCCTTTTTAATTCTATCATTTAGTATTAGCAGATACTAGTCTTGTTTATGTGATCCCTTTGATTCCTAATCCTATCATTATGATCAATTATGAACTGAAACTGATCCCTTTGACTAGTGAGATGGCATTGGTACATGCCACCTTGATGGGATTGAATTGGAATCCCCAGGCTCGTTTCTAACTCTACCACTCTACTATTTGGGGCAAGTGCCAGACTGTACATCTCCTCCCTCTCTTATTCCCACTCTTATATTTAACAGGGATCACTTTTCAGTTAAATTTAAACACCTAAGAATAATTGTGTGTTAATTAAAGAGTTCAACCAATAGTATTAAGTAGAACAAAACATATAGAATGAGAATATTAAACCAAATACATCATTTCTGGGGCCGGCATTGGGGCACTGTGGGTCAAGTCACTGCCTGAAATGCTGGATAGCTGGTTCAAATCCCCTATCTTGGCTGCTCTATTTCTGGTCTAGCTCCCTTCTAATGTGCCTGGGGAAAGCAGCAAAAGGTGGCCCAGGTGCTTAAGTCTCTGTCACACACATGGAAGACATCCAATGGAGTTCTAGACTCCTGGCTTTGGCCTGGAATAGCTTCAGCCATTGTGGCCTCTTGGGGGTGGTGAACCAGCAGATGGAAGATGGATCTCTCTCTTTCTCATGTTTGTTCCCCCGCCCCTCTCCAGGTCCACCTATCAAATAAATAAATAAACCTTCAAATTATACTATTTCTTATCTAGAAAGCACAATGTACAATAATGGAGCATTGAAAAGGGTCATGTAGATTAGGAACTAGAGTCAACTAAATTGACAAGTTGCACCTAAAGATAATTGAAAAATAATGCATATCTCTCATTTGTATTACTTCCAGAGAATTAAATTAAGATGCCTCTCAGCTAACTACAGTTGATCTCTTGAAATAAACAATTAAGTTATAGAGTTTTATTTTCCTTTCAAGATGGCTTATATGTGAAATTGTCACTATGAATTTTTAATTTCAGAAATCTAATTTCTACTGTGACTAAGGAACTACATAAACAGTTTAAATGAATGTGACACAGTATAGCTCTTCCATAATGTAAATTAATATATCCAACAGTGATGGACCTTTTCACCTACAGCTTTAAAATATGGTGGGGTAGATGTATATTATCACACAAAGTGTCGTGACTAAAAGCAGTCATTAAAATGTACACAATAATGATAAACTTTCCTTTTAATATGTTTAAAGTAAAATCCACATGTTAAGTACAATTACATGCATAATTTTCTCAAGCCCAAATTAGAAAAAGCTATGATTCAATACATAAATAGCTCTTAAATATATGCTTTCCATTTTTCTTTCAAGTAAAAATTAAGGAACAAAAATAAAATTTATTAAAGATTTTTTATTAAAACATGGCAAATTACCCTACAAATATCCTTGTGTTATTACTTTGAACAATAAAGCAAGGGTGGTAAATTTCCAAAATAATGTCTAACAGTTTATCAAACATAACAGTAGAGTTCTTATTTTTTTTTCTTTTTGTGATGATATCTTTTTTAAAAGATTTTATTTATTTATTTGAGAGGCAGAGTCAGAGAGAGAAAGAGAGAGAGAGAGAGAGAGAGAGAATCTTTCATCCACTGGTTCACTTCCCAAACGGCAGGAGATGAGCAGATCTAGTCAGGAACCAGGAGCTTATTCCAGGTCTCCCATACAGGTGCAGGGACCCAAGCACTTGGGCTATCTTCTGCTACTTTCCCAGGTCATTAGCAGAGAGCTGGATCAGAAGAGGAACAGCTAGGCCGGCGCCGCGGTTCAATAGGCTAATCCTCCACCTTGCAGCGCCGGCACCCTGGGTTCTAGTCCCGGTCGGGGCGCCAGATTCTGTCCTGGTTGCCCCTCTTCCAGTCCAGCTCTCTGCTGTGGCTTCAGATCAGCGCGGTGAGCCGGCCACAGAGCACCGGTCGCAGCGGCCATTGGAGGGTGAACCAACGGTAAAGGAAGACCTTTCTCTCTGTCTCTCTCTCTCACTGTCCACTCTGCCTGTCAAAAAAAAAAAAAAAAAGAAAGAAGAACAGCTGAGACACGAACCGTTGCTCATATGGGATGCAGGCACTGTAGGTAAAGGCTTTGTCCACTACAGCACAGCATGGGTCCCAGTAGAATTCCTCTTAAATTCTGCTTAGGATTTGGAGAAAATGGAAAATGCACCCATATGTGTCTATTGTATCCATTTACACTAAACTCACTGTCTTAGTTGACTGGATTAAATAGGTCTCTGTCAACATTAGTGTTCTGCATTAGAAAAGAGCATGTAAATTATCCCAAATATCTTTACAATGAATATTACTTCATCATGTTTAGTGTTTTAGATTATTTTCTGGATGGTTACAATTCCATTATTTTCTTGACAGTAAGAAAGGGGGCCTAGGAGGCACATGACTACTGATGTATTTGTTATATGTAGAAACCTTTGCCTATTTCTAAGTCTGTGAGGGATAATACATCTTTCTGAGACTTGGAATGTCAAAGCCTCACAGTATGCACCCTGATAAGAGAATTCCAGGTTAATCAGATCCCAGTTCAGACATATTGCCTTATTCCATGATTTTTTTAATGTCACAACTATCATAAACTCATTTTAAATGTTATTGAACATCAAAGTGAATGCTGAATTTGTTTTTCCATTTGACTGTAAAGCCAACACATACTTGATAATTATCACCTTGATAACTGTCATACAGAGATACACAAAATGTTAAAGTATCCCTTTGTCTGGAAGATTAGGGATAATAGTTCAGAACAAAATACAGTGCTTAGACTCTCAATGATTCAAGAAATTTAACTTTACAGTTACTTTATAGTATTTCTCCCGATATTTCAAACCAAATACATCGTTTTTCCTTCATTCAGACCATTCTCCACACCACTAATCACACCTTGTTCATTTATTTATCCTTCTTGAGGAAGCCTCTTCCTCTTCACTTACAGCTACCTGTCGCTCCCCGTCTTCGTGGAGGAACGACACTGAACCCTGCGCTGTTCTTTCGTCTGCTCGGCCCTCCCCGGGTTTGCTGCTGGTTCTTCCCGGGTTGGCTACCGACCCTTCCACCTCCGTGGAAGGGCGGTTCCCCCTTGCCACTTTCCCCACTTCCGCGGGGGAGCGGCACACCGCCGGCCGGCTCTCTCGGGGGCTGCTCAGGTGTTCCTTCAGATGTTCCTGGTGCAGGTTGTCTCTCTCCTCCTTTATAGTCCTCTTCTGCCAATCCCAACTCTGCTACCCACATGCTGAGTACGCTGCTCTCCTGCAATCAGGAGCAGGATCAGCTCCTGCAGGTCATCACCCAAGCTGGCGAGAGGCAGCTGCGCAGAAGTTGCTACTCCCTTCTCAGCGCCATATTGTGGGAGAGCAGATGCATAGAATAAGTCTTAATTCCAGTAACTTAGTCTAGTCCGAGTTACTCCCAGTTGTTCCCCACACTACCTTACTAAAAGATTATTTTAGGCTAGACAGTTGTTTTTTTAAAAAGAGATTTGCCTCTAATTACTCATTTCATCTTCACAATAACTCTAAAAAACACCTATTTTTATTTTGTCATTTTAATTTTAGTCTTCAAACATTTTAAATACTAGAAGAAAGTATAAAAGAGGGTTCAATGAATTCACAGTGATTTAACAATTTTTAACATTTTGCCCTGCTTTTTAACTCCTACTGGACAGAAAGCGAAACTGGAGTGCAAAGATTTTAAGCAACTCCTCATACAGTCAAGGGGCAGACTTTCAAACTGGGACAGTCTAGCATGAGAGCTCACACTCTTAACTATAATGCAGTATTCACATACTTACACTCAGTCTTCCAAACTAAACAGGTCTATGATGATAGCCATAAAACAATGGTAGTATCTATTGCTTCTATCACTCACTTTGTATATCTCTGCATGGCTAAAATTGAATGCCTTACTTTTCTGAAAAGATCTTATGGCAGAAACCACAGATCAAATTTGGGATCTCTGTCAGGGTCTAGAGCTCAAAGTATCCATCCAACAAATAAGGATACTTTATCTTAACCATGATTAAAGTTTTGTATCTTAGAGGAAAAACAGTAAAACAGTAAATTCTTAAAGAAGTTTCTGTAAAATGGTGGGAAGGAAATCCTTAATATATTTTTCCTGTTCAAAGATTTTTAGAGTTGAATGTATCATAAATCTCAGGGGCAATTAGCCATGGATTACATAAAACCATCTCAATTTCTTAGATAAAGATTGGATTTATAACACACAATTATTCTTAGGTGTTTAAATTTTAACTGAAAAGTGATCCCTGTTGGGAATTTGGAAAACATTATGCTGAGTGAAATAAGCCAGTCCCAAAGGGACAAATAGCATATGTTCTCTCTGACCGGTGACAACTAACCGAGCACCAAAAAGGAAACCTGTTAAAGTGAAATGAACACTATGAGAAACTTGATCAGCCCCTGCCCTGGCTGTTGATGAACAACTTAATACATTAAACCTCTTAGTATTTTTTTGTGTGTGTTTGTTCTACTTAGTATTTTTGGTTGAATACTGTAATCAATACA